AAAGCGGAAGGCGGCGGAGGGAGATCGTCCTCCGCTGGCAAACAAGAAGCGCCGGACAGATTCTGCCCAGGACATGCAGCAGGTTACACCTCCATTGGGTGCCGCGGAGTCTGTTTCTGGCATGGATGTTGGGACTATTGTTGCCGATGATGCAGTCGCAGCAGCGAAGGCTTTGGCTGACGAGCGGCGTGCAGTCTACAATCGAGGCCGCGAACCTGACGATAAGTCCAAAGCACGGAAACCGCAACGCCAACTACCTCCGGCTATAGACGATTTGATCAACGCTGGCAGTCGTGGGTTCAATTGTCGCAGGAAACCAATCACATTATCGTTCTCGAATGATGAAAGAGGTGAGCTTCTCACTGTTCCTCATCTCCCAAAATTCTCACGCCAAATCAGTCTGGGATCACATGGACTGCGATGACAGAAGCAGCGCTGGATGCGCACGGTGTGCGCCTAAGCCGAACGACGTGTGCTGCGATCTGTGCAGCCCCGATACTGTGTCAAAGTTTTCGTCAGAACACCCCCCCGCAAAGAAAGCAATGAAGAAGGCTTCTATCAAGCCATATGAGCCTACCGTGGAGACGAGGGACTTGTGGCAAGTCCTGCTGGCATGGAGAAACGAAGCCGCACACAAGGCCCTATCAGCGTCCGTGCTTAACAAGTTCGGCAGCGAGTTCTTCATTGCCGTGAAGACGCTCAAGCGTATCGTCGACTGCGCACAAGCTGGGAAACTCAACAACCTTGAAACCTTGAGACTGGAGACGTCTTGGCGCAAGGTGTGGGTTGATGAGTATGGCCCGTCACTCCTGGAGAAGGTACATAATTGCTTCCCAATTAACATTGCTCCGAAACTGGCATCCGAACCGGGTTCCTCGCGCGCACTCGAAGCAGCCGCGACAAATATTCCCGCAGCAAATGCCGCGGGAACGTCTTCGACGACAGCGGCGGCACCGGGTGGTCCCAGCAGTATAGTACGAAAGCGGAAGCCGCCTACCTGTAGTCGATGCAAACAGCCAGGTCATAACAGTGAGTTGATGGCCGTGATTCCCATAGAAGAGAGGGGGCTAATGGTATACTTGACAGAAAGTAACTCCAGTTGCCCTCTGTTCAACAGGACGGATGACAGAGGTGCGGTGAATGGTAGCGAGAATATACCTCCCGCAGCCACTTCGGCAATTTTACATGCTGTCCCCGTCCCTCCTAGACCTGCCCCCCGCCCGGCATATGGTCAATTCATCATGGTCAACCCTGGACCAGCGACCAATGCTCCTGGTATTGAGCCCCTTTAAACATCCAGATCCCCATCATCTCCGTCCGCCTCGATCTCCTGGTCAGTTGTAGCATCGGCCTCATTCTCCAGCCTATCATGCTTCGATGTAGTGAATGTCATAGCCATCCCCTCAGTATAGGCATCTGGTATGACGTATTGGGCTTTGCGGCCGGGTGTATAGAGGTGCGTCGCGTGTTTTTGGATATAGTCTGCTAACTTATTGAACGTCTTCAGCATTTTCGGGGGAGAATGCTTGAACGTTCGATGATCCAAAGCCAGCATCTTTTCAAAATTGACACGGACATTCTTCAGGACATCGATCAGTGAAGACTGGTTCAGAATATGTTGCATAGTCCGATTTGAGAATTTTCCACCATATATTCGCTGTGGATGGGTAAAGAAATGATTCCGACAGTAGATACAGAGCTCTGTATCTCGTACCTTGATATATAGGTTGTTAAGCTCTACCCACCAGTCGATTGCGCGGAAACAGTTCGGTTTTCCGGTGGGATTGCATAATATATTCATTCGGATTACTCGTCTGTTTGGTAGAGGTGAGTAGTGCAAATGATATGCCCCGTTTTACATCTGACGCACCGTAATTTCCCAGGATAAACAAAGTATAGATTGTGCAAGAACCGCAGCATCTGGGTCGCATACTTATGCTTTCCACAGCCGCGAAATATGAATGCCCATGGCAGGAAGCAGTCTTCGACGCGCCCAATGTCCCCCGCATTCATTGCAATCGTGAGCTCTTCATATAGCAAGAAATACTGCTGCTTGAGTTGCTGATTTTCGAACACTTCATCCCGCAATGCCGACGTATTCTCGCGCTGTACAGCAAAGCTTTCGCGAGCCACGTAGTCTCTCGCCAAGACCGCTGCAAGATCGCGAATCTCCTGCCATTGAGGAAGGCGGTCTGCCCAGGTCTCGAGGCTTGATACCTTATTCCTTTTGCTCACCTCGGTA